TCATCGTACCTCAGACTCAAAGGGTATGTGGATCCCTAGGTCATGTAGACGGTTGATATTTCAACCCTCCCTCCGTATGGAGAGGTATTGCAATCAAACAGTCCGACTATGGTGCCACCCATGTGTCACACTTCTCGGAGGTCTGCTTTTTAAGGCCACTGCCGCCAATGCTGTTTTTCCCGCCGCTCTCTTCAACGAAGGGTGCAGCTGGCCCCATTCTTTGTTGTCACAGTCCTTGAAGGTTATAGTCTAGTCATAGTTCTCAAACGTTTTCAAGCCTACACACACACACACGTCACACCTCTGCTACCAGAGTGACTTGCTACCACTGTTGATGGCACCAATCCTGCCAACTCCTATCCCTCTCCTGACATCTACTCCTCAGCATTGCTACTCATCCTGCCTTTCCTCGGAAACTTCTCCGGCATTTCTCAGCTTCTTCCTGTCCCGCCCAAACCGCCCCACCCCAAATCAGCGCCGAACCGGGTGACCTGGACATGGCGGCCGGATTGGCGAAGATCGAGTCCCGCTGTGCCACACTGGGCTTCCTGGCAAACATGGGAAGAACTAGCGATGGCCTCCAACCTACTGGTGATGGTCTTCAACTAATAGTGATGGCCTCCAACGTTATTTAATAGTGATGGCCTCCAACCTACTAGCGATGGCCTAGCGAGATATAGGAAGGTGAGACCTTTCAGTGCAGGGGTGGAAAATGTGGAAAGGTCAGAATTTGAGGCGCGCGATGGGGTGGAAGGAGCCTTTTTTCAGATGTGGAAAGCGTCCTACGTCCTGCCTTTTGCCTTGCCTTCTGATGGGGGTGCGAAGGGTCAAAAACAAATTTTAAGCATGGATCACACATGCATTGACGCGGCGTAGAGAGGGTCATTGCAAAGACCTGCTGTGAAGGTCCATGAAGGTCCTTGTTTTCATCACTTGGATATAGTTCTATTCAAAGAGAGTCTCAACTGGATGGAGGTCCACTCTCCGAAACCCCTGCGATCACTGTGATCACAGGATGTTGGTGATCCCGTCTTCCGTCTCTCAGCGTGTCTTTTCTGCACTCCCGCCCTTGTTTCAGTCAGTCCTTCGGAGGGCTCCGCTTTCCAAGGACTTCTGAGAAACCATGCCATTTCAGGTGATGATCGGTGATGCAACATCGCATTGCAATGCTTTGCGCTTGGGAAGGTGGACATCCCGGAATCCCAGGCATTGGTCCAGAAAACACCCATGGGGCTCCACCAGAATCCCCGCAGGTTTGGACGATCCCACTGGCGTCCTTGGCGCGCGCGCGCGCGGGAACCGCGTCCTCTTGGCCGTGCCTTTCGCACGCCTGCCACCCATCAAGCCTCAAGCAGCTCGGCGACACAGCTCGAACCCCGTCGCGGGAGCGTGGTCCGAGGATGGCAACAGATCGCGGACACCGTCGCCTACCATCCCGGATCACCTGGAAACAACATGAGGAAGGAGCTCCCATGTGGTAATCATATCTCATGATCAAAAACCATGAGAAACCAAGAGTTCAAGACTCTCCCCATGTGTGGTAATATCTCATGTTCAGGAATGCCCTGGAAGAGGTGCCAAAACTGCCGTGTTGCCGACATGCTTCAGAGTCCATATCACTTCAGGCCCCCCCCACCTTGGATTCGCCCTCCAAGTCGGGTCATCAGTTTCGAGGAGTCCAAACACTTTTTCGGGGAACTTCCAACAGTCACCACAAACCGCAAAATACCAAGCTCTGGGTGGCTGGATGTTGATGGTTTCTTCACTGAACATGAAGGAAAACTCTGCCACGCCGTGGCCGCCCCCGATCGTCCAAAAACACCCCCGGTCCTGTTGCAATGCTGCTGGTCCTTCTGGTCTTCGGATCCTCTCCATCCTGGAAAGATCAGCTCAGGCAGTCGGACTGGTAGAGGAAACTATAAGAATCAACAGCCACAAAGATCACATGGGTATGCAATAGGGAGACATATATACCAGGACCCTCCAAAGGGGTGCGGAACGCCAGGGTTCGGTCTCCCTCTTTGACTACGAGCCCACATGAAGGTCCAAACTGCGCCCGGCGTGTCCATCCGAAACCATCAACCAGCCCCACGCATTCTGGGTGTCCAGAGTCCAGAGCCCCTACTCGAGGTCAAGGGGTGGGGTGGTGAAATCGACACCCCGAACTGGGGGTCTAGGAAGGCATTGGGATTCATCTCCAAACTTTCTGAACTTCATGTCCAAACCACTCAGAAAGCTCGTGTCCGAGCCCTCGTTGAAACAAATCACCATCGGTTTTACCATCACCATTCCCCTCGGTGCTGGGGCTTCCGGAGGATTCCCCTCCATGAAACCACCAAAAAAGAGGTTCCAAGGGATTCTGACCTTAATGGTTCTATATAGATGGTTACATGTAATTGTACCTCTGGTCGGTTCCATTCACTCTCACCATTCGAATCCCAACCTTGTACCCGGATTCCCGACGTTCTGAAGCACGCTTTCTTCCCGCCAGCCCCCCAGTTCGCCCCGCCAGCATTTGCAAGTTCGCCGTGGTCAAGGTCTTGGTGGGGACCTCTTCCACTTCGCCGCCTGGCGCCGTGCCGGTCGCGGTCGCTGCGCCGGTTACGTGGTCGGGACGCGCCCGACCGTGGGTTCGGAGCAAAGGCCTGGTGCCGAAGAAACGGTTCGACTCGTGCCGTTTGCAGCGGGAACCTGATGAATGTCCGATGCGTGCCTGAGCTACACCTCGAAATGCGATGTCAAAAATAACCTGTTTATTACTGTTTGCTTCCAAGACTATTAGTTGGTGGGCCGAGTCAACTGATCTGTACCTGAGAATTGCTCCTAAACTAGCATGAATCATTATTCTATTAGGAGCTCCATGACCCATTGATAAGGAGCAGTTACTGGAGCAATTCTATAAAATGTTGTCCTTTTTATTCATTTGTGCCTTGGGCAAATGAAAGAAATGACATCGTGAACGTCGTGAATCCCCAAAATACAACTGCCATCAAGAATTTCATTACATTTGTAATATTATTTATAACTATTGTTTTATGTAGGTGGGTGAAAGCAACCAACACCTACCATCAAACATGTTTAACACTATAAGATATATCTCGAACAGGAGGTGTGTGTAGGAGACAATGGATGAGACACAATAAGCATGTTGGTAACCCTAATGGAGATCTGAAAATGAGACTTAGATGGTTGGATCGTCGCTCTGTGAAGCTGTGCAAGGTTAAATCACACATGAGTCTCCAAGATAAAATTGACTTGGGTCGTCCGGCTTGGTCCTGGCATGCTAATGCTGCTGCTGATTCCCTTGCTGGAGAAGCAACAGTGGCCTTAGCCCCGTATGGAAAGGATAAGGCTAACGTTTTCATTTTAGGACGAGCTTGGCGCTTAAACAAGTGGTTGTTGCCTCGTGTGCAATTTTGGTTGAGTCAGCAGAGTACCTGTAAACTTCCGAAGAAAAGTGGGTCTAGATGCACCAAGGATGCTTTCCTCTTGTCTCTAAGAAATAATCCTGCTGGAGGCCATGAGTGGGAATCCTCAGTCAAGGGTTTGTGCTGTTTGCGTTGTGGTACTAAGTTGCCCAAATACAAAAGTTTGAGTGATCTGGAGGTTCTGGTGCAACTCCCATGTGATGTGATGAGTGGTGTCCGCGGGGTGCATTATACTATACTATACTCATGCATACCATGTATGGTGGCACGCGGAAGACCTGCAATGTCATGTAAGGGAGTTTGTTATGCAGGGCGACAGATTAGCAAGAAATTGCGGCAACCATGTGGAACTTCCGGACGGGTCTTGTACAGACGGAGATAGTTTGGGCTGGTAGTTTGTTTGGAAAAATAGCTTAATATAATGCAGTAGTTAGTGAGTGAATAATACAAAATGCTGATTCGTATGCTTTGTTACTTTTGAACGAAGCTCATATCAAACTAACTAAAGTCTTTTTTGCTTCCGGATAGTTGGCAACAAACAACCGGCCCTTCAGCACACTTTGGAACTTTCCACCACCGTCGAGACTTAAAGCAATAGTCTGACTTAGTCAGTTTCAGCAAGATCTTTCCGCGTTAATTACTTGATTTGCACTATTCGAAGCCAATCTACAGCTTGAACCCTAAACTGGTTCGCGTTTTGGGGCCCCAAATCTGATCTTTCTGATTTGCAAGACCTTAAAGGCGCCTGTTTTGCTGCGTGTGTGGAAGGTGGTCGCGGAGATTTGCAGCTCTTCATCCTGCGAGCCCGACGTCGGACGACGTCGGACGACGCTTGATGACCCAACCGGTCGCCCGGTCCCTGGTCCTGAAAACCTCCAAACGAGTAGTGTTTGTGTGTGAAGAACTCCAGTAAATGAGGGTTCATGAATGTTCATGAGATCTTTTGACCTGCTGGGTGACTTTTTCAACCTCCCAGACCTGAAGAGGTTTTACAATTGAGTGGGGGTACTATCAAGAGCAGTCTAAATGGGCACAGTGGAGGATGAAGGTCAGGTTGCAGCCCTTTCCAATATAAGATGTCACGCATCTCTTCATAATAAATATATATATATATGATATAAAGTATATGATATATTGTTCATACTCTTTCACCACTGGTTTCCTGGGCCACCCTAGTCCTCTCTTTCTTTTTATCTCTCGCTCTTTTTGGGCGACGATCGTCATCGCCATCGCCGCCGCGGCGAGCTCAGCGGGTCGTTCAAGTCTTGGGATCCCAAGAAGCACAAAACTGGTCGTGGACGCTGCCGGCCCACGGCACCACCTCTCTCTGAATGTCTTGAAAGCTGTACAATTGAGAGTCGGGGAGTCTTGCATTGCTGTACAAATGTTTAATTTAGATTTCAGATGTACCTGCAAGACTGTTCATTGAGGCTTTCGGCTTTCGGAATGGTCTTTCCCATTCCTTACACCTCCGCAACTCCAGCCAAGGACCTCAGTTGGGCTTCCAAACACGTCAAGCAAAGCCCATATAGCGCCCGGCGCTCGACATTATTTCATCCAAGCTGCTTGGCATCACAGTTGGTCTCTGTATCGCCCTGGCAGCGACTGACCGGGCATCAGAAAGTGAACCAAAAGATTGCATTCTTCTTTACAAACAGCAACTTGTCCACTTCCATGTAAAACAAAGTGCATCCAATTGGGTTCGCACTGCACCTTTTGCAGGAGATGGCTCGGCAAATGGCCAGATCGTCGCCAGAGAACACCTTATATTGATCTCTATAGACTATATACGATGCTGGATCCGCATATCACTCACTAAGCTGGCTTTTTCCATCAGCTGGCTGCGACAAACCCAATACGCTGCGCCAAGTGGCTGATCGCCATCACGAGGGTCGTCATGAGGCTCATTAGCGCCCAATACAACCCCACGCCCGGTGCCCAGTGGGTGGCATCCAGGATGGCGGCGTCGATGAGCGGTGCGGTGCCTCCCAACACGGCGAAGGCCAAGTTGCAGGACATGCCAAAGCCCAGCGCACGCAGCTGCACGGGAAAGAGGTCCGCACAGAAGATATAGGCGTGAGATCCAGCAAAGCCCACCAGCAAACCAAAGGCCGCCAACCAAACGATTGGTAGTGCGTCGAAGCCTGGGATTTGCGGGAACCTTATGAAATATTCCCCAGGTTTGGGGATTTGCTGTTCGGGAAAAGAACCACATCACCTTTCCCTTAAGCAACACCAGGACACTCACGCTGCTGCTGATCAGCAGGAACAACGGGAAGCTGCAAACGGACAAGATTGCCCCTCCGGCCAGCATGATGATCAAGGGATCAAAACTACAAAAGAGATCGTTCAGCACAGGCCATACCACCCAGCTGATCATGACGGTGCCTTGGAATGTACGGGCATGAACACCAGTGCATGATAGCACATGTGAGCTGTGAGATTTGCAGGACAAGGCTCCCGGGCCAGGTGAAAACTGGCTGCTATAGATGCTGCGAGTGCTTTCACTCCATCAGTTGCGGACCAAGGCACCGGTGAAGGCACAGGAAGCCAAAAGAGCCAGCGTTTGATCCATGCCCTGCGATTTCAAATACGATGGACACCTGGGACCAGCATCTGGCGAAATCCGTTGGTCCACTCGGTTCAGAAGTCCACTTTTCTGGCCATTCGGATTGCCCTTTTCGGATGAGCATCGGGAATCGAGATGGCCCGACCTTCCAAAGTTTCAACAAAAAACAAAGCCAAATCGGAGACCTCCCAGGCCTTCAGACCCCTTGGAAGGTTCGGAGACCTGGTTTGCGAAAGCGTGTCTCCCGATCTTGCACCTCGGTATCTATCGCGGGGTCATCCAGGGCCCAGTGGATGATGATGGTTAGGCTGGTTGCAGGCCAGCTCAAGAAGTGGACGTCCTGGCCCCTTGGGAAGACTACTTTCTTGTACCAAGAGGAGGTGAGCTCCGCTCGTAAAGGCCCGCCACCGCCCACGACAGCCATGACACCACAGGGCCGAATAGTAGCAAACGGCCAGCGCACCCGTCGCACTGAAGCCCACCACGACAGCCTTGGTTCGAAGTGCCCCATGCCAACCCGGTTTGAGTGCCCCATGCCACCAGACATGGACCTGGTGGACCCGCTAGGACTGGACCTAATGAACCACTTGGCATGGACCCTCGGGTTGAACATGGGTGGCTCGGTTGAAATGCAGTTCAAACGACTTCACCAAAAGTACGTCACGACTTGTTCTCCATTGGTCTTTCTTTCGATACGATCATCGAAACGCCAAAACAAAGACGTGGGCCAGGGCACAAGAGCATGGTCCCGCAACTTCCTGGGCGTGCCGAGTCATTGTCAGTTTCAAGCAGAACTTGTTTGCCGTTCGCCCATTCGAAGCAACTGAGTCGAACACATGCGCGGAGGCTTGCTCTCCTCATGTGAAGAGTGGAACGTGTGATGAATTATACCAGCGTAGACCCCAAATAGAGCAATGTTCAAAAATGAGATCTCCGAACAATATGGCCAGCAGTATTTCCTAGAGGAAGAAAACTATAGTCCATCATGTAGACGCACATACAAGATTCAAAGGGAAAGCATTAAAATTCTGTTTTTCATTGACTTTACAATGGGACGCCGTACAAGGGCTAAAACATGAAATTTATGGATCCAGGTTGTGACATATGTTGCCCCCCCTTGTAAACACGAATGCGCAGACCCAATCAAAATGAAGATTTCCTCAGAGCACGGACACTGCGCTTGGCTTTTTCCTTCCTACGCAGTTGCCTTCTTTGGCTTAGCCATGTACTGCATTGACCTGTGTTTGCCATAGGTCGCAACACTTGACGTAAGAGTGTGTGATTGCTTCGTTGATCATCCGCACGAAAGTAGCTGCCAACCTAAACAGCAAATCGAGCAATGAAACGCTTGTGGTGAAAATATGTGAAAATAGTGTATTTCGATGCAGCCAATGCAGCTTTCAAACTCGAAACACGACCTTGTGCGCATCAAAAAATTGACCGGCCCAGCATCCAGCCAAGCCCGGGGATACAAAGCATCCAGACAGGCCATGGGAAACAAGTGGAAGACAAGTGAGCTTACTGGGAGCCAAGTCGAGACATGTGGGAGACAAGTGTGAAATCATGCGGCCAGAGCACTCAGAGCATCCAGAGCTTACTGGGAAACAAGTGGGAGACAAGTGTGAAATCATGCGGCCAGAGCACTCAGGACAAATGGCAGACAAGTGTGAAATCATGCGGCCAGAGCACTATAGAGCATCCAGAGCTTACTGGGAGACAAGTGGGAGACAAGTCTGAAATCATGCGGCCAGAGCACTCAGAGCATCCAGAGCTTACTGGGAGACAAATGGGAGGCAAATGGAAGACAAGTATGAAATCATGCGGCCAGAGCACTGAGAGCATCCAGAGCTTACTGGGAGACAAGTGGGAGACAAATGGGAGACAAGCGTGAAATCATGCGGCCAGAGCACTGAGAGCATCCAGGGCTTACTGGGAGACAACTGGGAGACAAGTGGGAGACAAATGGGAGACAAGTATAAAATCATGCAGCCAGAGCACTGAGAGCATCCAGAGCTTACTGGGAGACAAGTGGGAGACAAATGGGAGACAAGTATAAAATCATGCGGCCAGCGCACTCAGAGCATCCAGAGCTTACTGGGAGACAAGTGGGAGACAAATGGGACACAAGTATAAAATCATGCGGCCAGAGCACTCAGAGCACCCAGAGCTTACTGGGAGACAAATGGGAGACAAGTGTGAAATCATGCGGCCAAGCACTCAGAGCATCCAGAGCTTACTGGGAGACAAATGGGAGACAAGCCTGAAATCATGCGGCCAGAGCACTGAGAGCATCCAGAGCTTACTGGGAGACAAGTGGGAGACAAGGGTGAAATCATGCGGCCAGAGCACTGAGAGCATCCAGAGCTTACTGGGAGACAACTGGGAGACAAGTGCAAGACAAGTGGGAGACAAGTGGGAGACAAGGGTGAAATCATGCGGCCAGGAACACAAGCCCGGAGACAAACTCAAAATCATCCGGCCCGAGCATGCACCCCCTTAAAAGGAGTAAGAACCCCTCACAGGTAAACCTGTTTGGGGAAAAAGGATCTTGGGAAGGGAAGGCAAGCGTACCAAAGACCACTAGCAACATCATAGCCTCAATAAGACTTGTTTGATCTTCCTTGGCCACCTTGGAAATACCAACTACGCTGGTATATAATTTATAGAATATTATATAGCTAGAAGTAATTAATAGCGACATGTCACAAACATTTCATGCGCAGGCGCGCGTTTCAGAAGCCAAGCAATGTTGCAAAAGGGAAGCTCTCCTCTATCTCCAAGTGCTCCGTCACAAAATGGACAAAGTTACTTGATTCTGCGAGCTTGTTGCGGCCCCAAAGTGCAATGCTTCCTGGCACGATGGACACCAGGAATGGAATGCGCCAGCCCCAGCTTGCCATGTCCTGCAGCCAAAAGAGCTACACTCTCCTAATTGCTGCTGATGGATATTGCGCCCTCTCCTACTCAAGGGTTCCCAACATGTTCCAACCTTCCACAGGTAGTTTTCACCAGCGCTCCAGCGAAAAACTGAAAAAAAAAACAGAAAACGCTCATGAAGCCGCTTGAACACCTGATGAAGCAAAAAACAGCATGAAGCCAACCGAAGCCATCGGTGTAGGCCAAAACACCTGGACATACCTGGACGCACTGAACTGATCACCCGACCGGGCCTGAGGAGTTAAGGAGCGAACCACCACGGTCACCAGGAGGTTGGCCAGCAAGAAACCCAGCCCTGCAGAGGCCAATAAGAGCCCGCAAGCTGCTCTGGCCCTCGGTGTCTTTGCTTGAAGAGTTCAAGTCTTGATGTAAGAGTTCAAGGAAGACTTGAATCTTTGGCAACATGATGTAGAAGTCCAATTAACATTGATGTTGACTGCTGCTGCGTTTGTTTTTTCTGATCGGTTCCAGTATGTCTCGTTCATGCGACGAGCTGCCGGTTGGGCGGCGCACTCTCTCCAATGTATGCGACGATTGGCCCAAGTTCACCACCTGGTGCTAAGGCGTTCAGGCTGACAGTTGGAAGCGACACTAAAGGAATGCCAGCACTTGAACATTGCTGTATGTACCTACCAGTGAGCATCCCATATGGTCCATATGCGTGCGTTGCTGTATATTATATCGTATTATGCCCAAAGACTCCATGTATGGAATACATTGACTGTCTCAAACCACCCTCATGCAACATGTCGGTCATTGTATGCCATACATGGAGCTTTTGGGATATGAGCAATGCAATGATCCAATGCGTGCATGCCAGTGAGCACAACCAGCTCTCAATGCTGCGCTCACTGCGCAAACCTTTGGAGAGGTCGCACGCGCAGTGCCGCACGGCACGCGCGGCACGGCCTGCACTGAGCCCCTGTAAGGCACGCAGCAACAGGAGGAACACCAAGCCCAAAGTGCCCCAGCCATCGCCTCGATCAACCCCATCAGGGCCGTGGCTGTCTTAGGCCGTCAGGGCCGTGGGTGTACCAGGACCATCCAATCTGGGTGTCCTGGCTGGACTACCCTACACTACTATCCGGGATCTCCAGACAGGACACCCAGACAGGATGGTCCGGTATGAGTTCCGTTGTTCTGCAATAAGAGTGGAGTTCTCATAGATGGGCGCGGTGGGAGGAGAAACTGATGCAAGTTCGAGTCACCGCAGCAAAGGTAGGTTGGCAGCCTCAAGTGGCACATGGAAGAAAGCACACTGAGAAACACGACAACATCCCTGCAACAGCGTTGAGAGGTGTCTACACGACTTGTGGCATGTTGTGCAATTGGCTCCCCCAACAAAACAACATCTGAGCTTCGGCACACTCCCTGGCCGAAGGTGGCCAAAAGCATTCCAAGAATGGAGATCAACACAGCCGTCCGCCTCACACAGGCTGCCTGCTGTGTTCAACATGCTTCGACACCGCGGACTAAACAAAAAGAAACTTTATAGAACTGTTTATGCACTCTCACGAACACATCACATGGAAGTGGAAGATGGTTTCTTCCTGAAGAGGATGTTGCTTTTCAAGTGTTTGAGTTCTCCACAGTATGTTCAAGTTCTCGACCATTTTCGGCCGCGGTCGAAAATAGTGCGCACTCGCCTGCCATACTTGTCAGCGAGCCAGCCTGGGGAAAACTGCACTGGGAAAGTGACTGGCCTCTCAGGGTGCGGCCAAGCTGCCATTGAGGAAACCGCCGAAAGGTCTCAGCAAGAAGGTGACGGTGTACCCAGCCCACGTGGAGATCGAGGAGGAGTGGAAGAACACCTTCTCGATGTCCGGCGCGAGGAAGCCTCGGAGAAGAATGTCCTGTCGAAGTGGCGTCACTCCATCGAAAGGACGGTGACTAATCACTTCTCTAAAATGCCCGATAGATAGATAGAAAGATAGATAGATAGATAGTTGCTATAATGAAAGTTTGACAAACATAAAATAATTCCCATGGTCAAATTCAGTGTTGGCAACCTGATCACATGCACATCTTGCATGTGAAAACCCAGCCCTATGGTCACCCAGGGCTTCTCAACTTCTATGCAAGCGGCTGTAGATCCCGAAATCATACCACTCCTCAGTGGCAGCCGGGAGTGCAACGGACCAGTGGGCCCCCGTATCGGTGGGCCGGGCAGAAACAGCACTCACGATACTCACGGACGTTGTGACACTTGCGACCAAGACACCAGGACGTTGCCCAGCAGCAAGGGCCAATACTGCCAAATGAATTGACAAAGGTTGGTGCTTTGCGCTCCTGAACTGGCTCGCGCACTTCCCATGGCTCCAGCGCTTGCTCCAGCGCTTCTCTACACTTTCGTTTGTAGGAGGTTTTGATGAGAGCCACTTGGTAGACATATTGGACCTCCACCATGGTCCGAGACTGAACTCTGCATGCGATCTCCGAGACGTGTGCAGGTTCTCGAAACCACTTGTGTTCCCACCCTTTGAGCCTTGGCGTCGCCGGATCCATTGGGTCAGCTCGGACGGTTTCCGTGGCGCTAGCTGGGGCCACTGGGCTGCTTTTCGTGAGTTGACAGGGTGGCAGACGTCTGCCAGGTTTGACAGGGTGCTGAGACAAATCCGAACACCACTGAATTATACCGTACAGGTTCACAGTGGTTTACGCGTGGCTATGCTCCAAACATAATGGACATCGACAACCTTTCTGTTGCAACTGCTAGTCGAGGAACATGGTCCTCCCGTCCACAACTCCTATCCAGGAGCCCAGCGTTGGAAGGGAACAGCCATGCAGTTGGATGGGTTCGAGCTCTACACGAGCTGTATGGGCCAAACTTCAATTGCAAAGCCTTGGATCCACATACCCTCCTATCGAGGCTCACGTGCACGACACTGTTAGCCTTGGAGGGTCCACACACCTTCTAAAGTGGTACTTGGATCTGGGACAAATTGGGACAAATCAAGGCGCAAACTTGGCGACTTCTTGACGTTCACAGGGGCCCTCCCTGGAGTGCTTCCCAAAGAAGTGACGCATGCTGCTCCTTTTTCGCCCTTTTAGTATATAATTATCCAGCAATATGTGCATGTGTCTTCTTCATTCTTCTTCTATGTATAAAGCCCTGTTCACACTCCATGCTATCTCCAGCTTCTTGCTTCGGTAGGACCTCCCTTGCAACCCTTGCACCGCCCAACGCCGCAGTCCTGGCTCAGCGCGCGCGGGGACCGCGGCTCGGCGGAGAGGCGCCGCCTCTCATCGCCGCGGTTCCGGGCCGACGCCCGGCGGCCAGTTCCGCCGGGGCTCAACGGCGTCCCGGGAGAGTCAGGCGAGCCGGGCTGGGACGAAGAGGTCCGCGCGCCGGGCTGCTCTTGACGCTCCGAGAGATAGGACCTCGGAGGTGGAGGCTTTGGAGAACATGTTTGTCATTGTTTGTCTATAACTTCTCTGACAGGCCTCATGACCCATGACCTTTACTACCTTTACCTTTGCGGTGGTGTTTTGGGAGGTGGCGTATGTCCATCCCTCGATCCGGGTCGATCCGAATGGGGTTCCGAACTGCGAGGCGCCTCGCTCACCCGGCCCCCCAAAGCCCCAAGCCTCGTTGGGGACCTTCCAAGACGGGAGATCCTGTCTGCCTGGCCTGTCTGCCTCCGCATTTTCTTGCGTTGCTCTTCCGCCACCCCCCGGCTCCCCTCGGAAGGGCCCCCCAAACCCTCGTGCCGCAAGGAGGGCGGCCGCAACATCCTATGGGCGACCCATGGGCGTTCGCCCAAGCGACCGCAACATCTTGGCCAAACGCATCCGCTCAAGGGCATCATCCTCCTGGCGAAAAAAGGCGTTCATGCACACGCATGACCCTTGGTTTTGGGTGCTAAAATGATGGCGACCGCGAGACCTTTCCTCTCCTTCCTTCCATCTCCTTCCTCACTAGGTGACTCACTAACACATGTAACATGGAAGTGGAAACACCACGTGTTTGTAGAGGAAATGATGAAACATGGTCTTCCCAGTGGCCATTCTAAGTGCGCTTAGGAGCCGTGCAGCGTCTGATCATCTCCGACCCGTCCCTGCTCGTCGGTCCTGGGGCTGCTCGAGCGAGCCACTGGTGCGGCGAGCGAAGGAGGCCATCTTCTGCAAGGCCGACATGCTGCCCTGGCGACCAGGGCGTTCACAGCGGACTGGGCTGGCGTCCAAGTCCAGAAATCAATGGAAACGATCATCTCATGGGGCTTCTCTGTGGTTTGTGCTTTCAAGTGACTTGAAAATATGTGGGTTCAATCATCCCAAGTCAAGGTTAACAAGATAAACCTCCAAAACCACCTATTTTGGTTAATAGCTTGATGCTTCATGACCATCCCTAGCCAAATGGAACTCTCCATTCTTGTCGTGCCGGGCCTTGTCCTCGATGGACCGGGCGGCTTGGAGAGCCTCATAGGTCTTCGTCCGGTCTCTTTCCTCTTCCGCCTGCGGACGAGGAACCACTCAAAGCACATATGGTGAACCCAGTGCCAGCCTTTCATCTTCTTCGTGGGTCCTAAGAGCTCATGGTGTTTTTCTTTGTTCATCAATATCTAATTGCATTCATCGGTTTGGCAACTAGCCAACCCATCCCACCTCTCCAAACGCCACCTCGCCTGTTGCCGTGCCGCCTCCTCGGCCTTCTGCTGTCGCAGCCGGATCAGATCTTCAGCCTGAAAGTCCGGCAAAGCATCGAAACCTGGTCGTCTAACAGGCTGAAAGGAGCTGAATGTCTTTAAAAGACTGTATTCTTCTTGTCCTATAGGTAGACAGTGCATATCTATCACATGTTTCAATGGTGTATATTGGATATATTGTGAAAGTATCTATGCTTTCTCCGGGAAGTGGCGTGCGCATCTCGATGCGTTTCGACCGGTATCTGTTCGGTGGTTGGAAGAGCCGAAGGGAACAGGATCAAAACATCAGGAACCCCAGTCCCAAGCAGAAACCTATGGATGTTCCTTCTTTTTGGTTTGCTGGAGGTCCTTTGCATAGCAAGTGGTTGGAACTGTGGAAAGATCGGACACATCCATAAATTTCTGGTTGCCTGGGGGTTCCAGGCATGTTTTACCAAATATGTGCAGCGGTTTCAAGAAGTAGATGCCGAGATGCCACATGATGCCACTGGCGTTGCCCCCAAGGTCCGTAGTGTCAAGAAACGGCACGACCATCGGACATCCTTTGATTTGTTCGTGCCCATCTTCTTCTTGAAAACCCATTTCCACCGGGACAGGAAGATGGGCCAACCCGAGCATTCATCGAGGTTTTCAAGGGAAACCCCTCAAAGGCGACGGATGGATGTCTTCGAACTGCTGCAGGGCGTTCTGGGGATGGGGCTACACAGAACGTATCCTGATCTTAAGCTGACTGGGATGAGCAAAGCATGACAGTTGATGCATTGATTTGCCATCCTTTCCTATATGATTTAGGGGTCTCAGCGAAAGGGACCAACACATTGCCAGATCCGTACTCTTGACCATGGACTTTCTTTTGATTCCTTTAGCCTCAAACCCAAAATGGGTCCTTCAACTCCCAACTTTGAACTCCCATCTTCCTATGGGAAATCATCAGTTCACCATGCATGGAAGGTGTTGGGTCAAAATTCCTGCGTTTAAGGCTTCCCGTACCACGATGGCGAGCTCTACTGGATGACCCACTCGAGTTGCCGCGCATTGATCCGCTGCTTCCGCTTCTCGGCCAGCGCGGCATCTGAGAAGAAAAAGGTGACGGGTCGATGCGGTTCCGAAGCGCACCGCCACATCCAGCAAAGGGAAAATCAAGTCTTACAAATTGAACTATAGCCCAGGCCGCCAATTCCTGGCTGTGTCTGCCTTCTGTGGTTGTGATCAGCAAAGAAAAGCGGGACGTATTAAACAACAATCACCATTTTGGGGTGACATACCAGGAACTTGGGTGCATCTCTTGGTTCATCCCTTCGGAACCTCATGATCATCACCTACATGGGTAATAATAGGTATGCTAGCCAAACTACTGGATCTGCCCCATCTCAATGCTTCTTGGCCAAGTTCATGTTTGACGGGTCGAAAAGGAACAGGTTTACTTCACCACTGGTGCATCTGGGTGGAAACGTTTATGAAACCCGCAATCTAGGCCTTGGATCTGCTTATTAAACAAATCCCCCCCTACAGGAACATCAACATTGCCCGAAGACCGCTTCCCCGTGCAAAAGAACTTGCAGATGTTTTGTTCCAGTACATTGCCAATAGTGATAGTAACCCACCATACCAAAATGACCGCCCAGCTAGCATCCCACCAATGGCACCTGAGTGGGTCGTGCAAAACCTAACTGAAAAACCGTTTCCACACCGCAACATGTTTAATCAACCACTTCGCAAAAGCCTTATGGGATCTGTACCCGGATTAGATGCTCAATCCGCTGATCCTTGAAATCACCTATCCACTCAGCGCCTGTATCACTGTGGCTGAACCCACTGATACCAGTATTTGCTGTTTTGCCCTATTTCTTTGCAAAGGTCCATTTCGCGTAGGTACTTTGCGACGCGGTTCTGTGAGGTTCCTGCGGTTCTGTGCAAACCTGCACCCGGTCTCAGACCAGGGGCGGCATTGGATTGACCACAAGCGCAGTACCCCACCAAACCCTGGCAGGTTGACACCCCATATTGTTTATTACTTTTGGGGCCCTCTTAGGATGACCAATTGTCTCTGACCGCGCCGGTGAACGCTGTGTCCGGGCGTTGTCCTCTTGTCCTTGTGGTGTGCAGCTTGGCTGCGCCTGCCAGCCAGTCTCCAGACCTTGTCCTTGTCCTCCTTGTGTCTTCCTGTTGTCCTCTTGATCTTCTGCCGGTGTCCAGTTTGGCCGCGGGTAAACCCGTCCACCTGTTGTCTTCCTGTTGTCATCTTCGTGTCCACCTCTCGTACTCCTGGTACTGATCCTCCAGGTGTTGCACAACGGGAAACGAGCCCCTCGTGTCGACCACGACTTGGATGATGGCGCTGCCGAAGGGGCTGCTTTTGGCTCAGGCGCGCGTTCGTGATGGCGGCCGAGCTCCTTTTCCTCATACTCTTCATGCTGTGCTGCACTTATGCTTTGTCTTGTCCAAATGCAGCGTCAGCTGAGGGCTCTTCCTTTGGTCTCAGCTCTGCGTTCACCACGTTCGGTCCGGTCGTTCACGGATGACCCCCAAGGCGACCTTCATGGGCGTCTTTGCTGCTGTTGAGCTCTTTGGCCATATTTTCCTTGTTCCTCTTCGATCTGTCTGCGTTGAACATGGATCCTTGGATGGATAACCAACAAACACTACACTCCAACAAACAAACAGCATG